AGTTGACAGATTTTTCAATTTAGGAACTGCGGCGAGAATATCCTATTGCCAAAAGATTTTATTATTATTATTATTATGTATTTATGCAATCCAAGAACCAGATAAAAAATCACATACTGATTTCGTTAATCCTTCAATACGATTCAAATGTAAAGTAAAAACATCAAGATTCTCGCACATAATATTTAGAGTAACATGGCTTGATGTGAGTCCAGTCATATGCAAAATCTCGAATCGTCATTTCCGTGTTCGATAAAATTCTAAATACGGCCAAGATCACAACTCACCAAATTAACTTCAATTTTTTCATGACTCGCTTCGACGCGACTCTCAAGCGGTTTATCCACTTTTTGGATTGAAAGTTTCAGTGCGTTGTCGAAGAATCGTGCAGTCTCCAATAAAAAATCAGTTGATACTTCATAAATGTTGGTTAGTTCAGTGAACTCAGTAATGGACAATAGTTGTAGATGGTGAGTAGCAAATTCTCAGAAATGTTGATGCATTGATCAAGGATAAAGGTGCTTATTTTCGGGCAATGCAAGAGTATTTGCTTCATTATGTCGTCCTCGTATGATTTTTGCTCGATAATTAGTCGTGATATGCGTGGACAATTTTTCATTATCTCAACGACTACTTCCCCATAACACTCGATATCCTTTTTCAACGACAATTCTTCCAAATTCGGGCAATTCTTTGCCAATGCCTCCAAGGCATTACCATCATAAACAGAAGAACCATTCAACTTCATGACTTTAATATTTGGCATAAGTTCAACGATCTGTCCAAACATTACGCCGTCAAATCTCCTGACTGGCAGTATAATTAATTCTAGTCGTGGGCAACACTGAAGTGTTTCCAGTAACATCTCATGATCAAATTTGAGACGTTCCAAGTCTAGCACTCTCACGTATCTTTCATATCGATGAAGACACTTTCCTTGGCGTGATTTACGTAATACATTTAGGAATTTTCTAAAAGACCTGGTTCTTGAATCGTTGGCTAGTCCGCGAAATTTGTACCATAGACGTTCGGTGGCAAGCTGATTCCACCAACGGTTTACAAGAGAACAGGAGAGTACGTCTTTTTCTAGCGCAATATATACGAAAATGTTTGAGAGAATTAAGGGTATTCCAACGGCTTTATGTGAAATTAATTCATTATTGTTATTATTGGTATTGGACATTATGTCATTGCAAATTGTGAGAGTGTGGATGGAGTCTAACGCTAAATTCTATATTATGTTGTTACCTTACGATCATTTACTTTTTGGGAATGGGATCATTTACTTTTTTGGAACGGGTCTGTTGAAAACTTCTTTTTTATAAAAAAGATAAAATTTCTAACTGATCTTTCCAAATATATCCAATTTTTTAACGAAGCGAACATTAAATTTCAAATTAACTGGGAGAATAAAACAAATCATCTCTCGGGTAAATGTGTGGTTGTGAGGATATCTTTCAGCCACCATTTACCCATCTCTTTAGGCAAATGAGCCGGTGCCTATCGCAGGTTTCCCATTTTCATGGTCGATTTGTGATGACTTCGGACAAGACAACCCTTCGGGTAGGGGCAATTACCCATCTCTTTAGGCAAATGAGCCGGTGCCTATCGCAGGTTTCCCATTTTCATGGTCGATTTGTGATGACTTCGGACAAGACAACCCTTCGGGTAGGGGGCAATTATCCATCCATTTAGGCAAATAAGCCGATGCCTTTCGCAGTGTTTCCCTTTTTCGTGGGCGATTTGTGAAGACACTTCGGCAAGACTAAAACATGATAAGAGTGTGTATGCATACGCGATGCGTAATTGAATTGTAATCATCATAGAGTTGAGAAACTCAGAAGTATAATGAATATCTGCACCATATAAAATACTTCAGGGTTTTGATTCTCTCCGAAAAATGATAAATGGTGGACAAGTCATTACACATCATCCCAAATTCCATTTCTTAATTAAATATCCCATCCCATTAATCCCAAATTCCAATTTATATTTCTTATAATAATAATAATAATGGTAATAATAATAATAATAATGGTAATAAAAATAATAATAATGATAATAAAAATAATAATTAAAAATTCCATTTTAATCCCCAATCCAAATTCTATTGATTCCGATTCCTATTTTCCAATCACACATTCCACTCCTACCCATTCCCAATCCTATCCTATTCAAAATCCCATATCCAACTCCTATCCTATTCAAAATCCAATATTCCAATCCTATCTTATTTTAAATCCTATCCTATTCCAAATCCCATATCTCAATCTTATTCCTAATTCTATAATTTGGGCAATGTGCAACAAGGGTAACAATTATGTATCTGCACAGATTGTTACTGGGTTTGATCCTACATTTTATACCGGGTTTCATCCTACAGTTGTTTTCAAAATTAAGTGAAACTGCGAATGACTCATGAAATCAGTTATAGTTTATTTGATATAAAAGCAATTCTTGCCTTCGGGCTATTCAAAATAATTTTCGAATCGTATGGCCTTGCGCCGGGCGGCGATGATTCATTCAAATTTCTGGCCTATCGACTTTCGATGGTAGGATAGAGGCCTACCATGGTTTTAACGGGTAACGTGGAATTAGGGTTCGATTCCTGAGGTGAGTCTGAAACGGCTACATCCAAGGAAGGCAGCAGGCGCAATCCCGACACGGGAAAATACAGTGTCTTGTTGCAATGATTCCAAAGGTGAAGTCTGAAAAAGGGCGCAATCGAATCAAAGATGGAGTCTGAAAAACGACTACCACATGAAGGGAGCAGGCGGTAATTAAAAAAAGCTCCGTATTTTAAATTAAAGGTGAAGTCTGAAAACGACTACCACCTTGAAGGCAATTAAAAAAGCTCCGTATTTTAAATTAAAGATGGAGTCTGAAAAACGACTACCACATCGAATGCAAGCAGGTGGTAATTAAATAAGCTCCGTATTTTGGGTCTGGGTATGCCCATTATAGTGCGTTTTTGATTTATTTCATGAAATTAATTTTGGGTCTGGCGTGCCCTTTCGTTGTGTGTCGGGGAAACCAGGTTCATTATTTTTTTCATGGAATAATAAGAACGGCACGGTTAGAACGAAATTAAGCGAGTGGCAATAACTGGTCTGTGTAGCAATTATTGCTTCTCAATGAGGGATAACGAGTAATAGCTGCTTAATTTCGTTTCTCATAAAAGGGCGTGGGGCGCTTTTATGAAATATAAAATTGCATATGAAACCTAGTCATAACTTTCCCTAAAATTTCCTTCCGCATACATCAACCAAAATGACCAGTCCCGTGTGATTGTTATTAAGGAAGGGACTGTATTCACCTTTACTTTTTTAAAATTTATAGTCTGACGTAGTTTATAATGATCTGGTTTTTATCTTACTTTTTCGAATTAGTGTAATTCAATATCTTTTATATATACAGTGTGTAAAAAAAAATTTTTTTTATAATTTATTATTTTTAAAATTAAAATTTTTAATAATAAGAAAACTTAAATAAATTATTAAAGTATTAAGTATATATATTTAAAATTTTTTATAATTAAATAAATATTCATTGAATAACAAATAAAAAAAGATTAAAAAAGTATTTTAAATTTTTTTTTATACACTGTATGTAAAAGATTGATACATAGTATCACGATTATTCTGTTTTAATGCATAAATGTCAATTAAAGATTATGGTATAAAGCACATGTGTGGTGTTATATTATCGTTAAAATTATATATATTAAACAATTTTTCCTCTTCTAATTTTTTTAATTTTTTGATAATTTTTGAATAACGTTTAGCTATGTATGTATTCTCAAAATTAACCTGCAAATTTCAGCCTTTCTAGTAAACAGACTAAATGCAGTACTGTAACTTTAGCACAGCATCTCCACGGAGCTTTCCCAAATGTTTGATCGTCGTGTACATGTACATGTAATACGTATAGGGGGACTTTTTAACTAACAAATACAATATTTTTCTCCATAATTACTTTATTTAAACTTTTCCGAGGCTTTATTTGTTCAAACAATGATCGATTCTAAAGATAGATACGTACATACATGTATAATTAAAATATGACATCTAGATAATTTTCTTGTTCTGTGTTCTGATGCCTGAACCTACGCATGCATTGCGCCGTTTTTGTAAGGAGATTACATGTATATAAACACCGGTGAAAACTTTCCATGCGAATATTTCAATAAACGGCTTTTGTAAAAAAGCCACAAAATTTCGGTATTTTATGGTTCGAATTTTCGAACATTGGGTGAAGTTATAGAATTTTAAATAGATTATCGTTTTGTCTAAATAGAATGAAAATTCCAACCAATCTCTTGTGTAAATTTTCTATTTACTGGTTTCTCTTAAGTGGACTTTTTCTTAACAATATTGTTTTTGCTGGTCAACAACAATCTAATAATTCTTCATTTAAAAAACAAACATCAATAAAAATGGCGGATATAATTCAAAATAATCGTGAAAAGACTCAGCAGCAGTCTATAGAATCATCAATTGTCAATAAAATTAATCACAATCCATCTGTTACCGTTTTTGCTTCTAATATCAGAACTCTTGTTGAGTAAGTGAATTAATTAATTTTATGGAACAATTAATTTTAAACTTTCAAATTTTAAATAATATTTTGTATTTAATAAAAATTCAGTAATGTTTCAAAGAGTATAGGAAAATCAACAGCTGTGCTGTCATTATCAATTTCTCAACCAACAAAACAATCATTCACCAAGATCACATACTCGCCGAAATCAACAAACTCACATACATCAATTCCAAACACGATAAATTCCACTCCAGCGAAAGAAACAAGACAGCCACAGACAACCCCCAAAGTGAAAAGTACTAATCATAAATCAATGAAGATTGAGGCAACCACTTCCACAAAGTATGTATTGGTATTAATTATATTTCTTAAAACTTTCGAGTGAAAATTAACTTTAAATTCTTAGTAACCCATCATTAAGTACATTTGAGAAGACAAATAGTCAGTTCACAACTCACACGAGGCAAGCGTATATATATAAATATTATATGACTTTTTAAAATCTCTCTCTTTAAAAGAATTTTGAAATCTCATTCTCTCCAATTCTCTCCATTTTTTGAAACAAAAAGTATTCAAAATTTTCCATATAATGATCCAAGAGGGAATCCGACTAAAATTATTACGGGTTCAGCAACTGGAACTTACTCGAGATCCTACACTACTTCTTCAACGAGCAGCCATGGAAAATACGAGTATATCTTTATACGAAAATCCACCTTGAAGCTTTATTGGGTATTTGTCGTCTTTTATTTTTTTAATTTATTAATAGGTAAAAAATTTTGGTTAAAACATATTAGAATTTAGAATAAATATATTTTGAATGCTAAATACAGTATAATGAATTAAAAAGGCATATGGTCCAGTGCAAAAATGTAGATACACGAATATACTATATATAAATTTTTTTTAAAAGTAAAATATTTATAATT